GACCCCATCTTCTTTGTGGCAGTCCCTCAAATACTGGAATACTACTATCAGTATTCCAGTATTTCTTCTTTTCTTTAGACTAGATAAACCCAAGTCCTGCAACCATTCTTCATAAGTTTTAATCTTAGTTCAGTTGCTCTTCTCTGAACTTTTTCCAAGGTCTCAACATCTTTTTTGTAGTATGGTGATCAAAATTGGTTGCAGTATTCCAGTTGTGGTCTCACTAGGGTTTTATAAAATACTTCTTGTAATCTTGATTCTATGCCTCTATTTATACAACCCAGGATTGTATTAGCTTTTTTGGCTGCTGATGCACACTGCTGGATCATCAAGTAATTGTTCACTAGGACTTCAAGGTCCCTCTCACAGTTACTGATTTTGAGCCAGGTCTCACCTAATCTGTACTTATATCTTTGATTTTTCCAGCCTAAATGTAAAACTTAGCTTTTCTCCACATTAAAACTCATTTTGTTGGATAGGGCTCATTGTTCAAGTTTGTCAAGATCTTTTTGGATCCTGAGCTTGTCTTCTGGGGTATTGGCTACTCCTACCAGTTTGGTGTCATCTGCAAATTTGATGAGTTCCCCTTCTATTCCCTCATCTAAGTCATTTATGAAGATATTGAAGAGTACTGGACCTAAGACGGAACCTTGTGGTAACCCACTGCTTACTTTCCTCCATGTGGATGTAGTACCATTAAGGATGACTCATTAAGTACAGTTTGTCAGCCAGTTACAAATCAGTCTGGTGGTGATGCTGTTTATTCCACCTTTTTCTAGCTTACCAAGCAGTAGGTTGCGGTCTACTTTGTCAAATGGCTTATTGAAATCTAAGTATACTATGTCCACAGCGTTTTGCTGGTCTACTAATTTGGTCACTTTATCAAAGAATGAAATAAGATTGGTCTGGCATGATCTGTTTTTAACAAACATGTGCTGGCTACCAGTTACAACTTTGTTTCCTTCTAGTTGTTCGCAGATCTGTTTTTTAATTATCTTTTCCAGAATCATCCCAGGTATTGATATTAGACTGATTGGCCCATAGTTTCCTGGGTGTGTCTTTTTTCCTTTCCTGAAGATGGGAACCACATCAATCCTTTTCCAATCCTCAGGTACTTCCCTGGTGCTCCAGGATTTTTGAAAGATATGGTGCAATGGTTCTGAGATAACATCTGCCAGCTCCTTCAGAACTCTGGGATGTAATCTGTTGGGTCCCAGTGATTTATATCCATCAAGGCTGGATTGGTGCTCTCTTACCATTTTCTTGCTTATTTTAATTTTTGTTTCTAGTTTGTCTTTTGCAATATTTTTTTTGTATGTTGTGCTATAGTTTGTTTTTGTGTGAAGATCGATGCAAAGAATGAGGTAAGCAGCTCTGCTTTCTTCATATTGCTTGTTACTTCCTTGCCATATTCTCTCTTTAGTGGACCTATAGTTTCCTTGAGTTTTTTCTTGTTTTTAATATGTTGAAAGAATTTTTTTTATTATCCTTGGTTTCTGTTGCAAATCTTTGTTCATTCTGACCCTTTGCTTTCCTGACTTCATCTTTGCATGTTCTAGCTGTCTGCTGATAATTAGCCTTAGTTATGTGTCCCTTTTTCCATTTTTTGCACTTGTCCTTTTTATCTTTCAGTTTGTCTGAGATATCTTTGTGCAGCCATGCTGGTTTCTTCTTGACTTTCTTGTTTTTCTTTTTCAATGGTATTGTGCTGGACTGGGCTTTTATGATATCATTATTCAGAGTTCCCCATGCTTCTTGAGTTGTTTTCCCCTTTAGGATTTTCATCCATGTAATATTTTCTAGGTTCTCTCTGAATTTGTTAAAGTCAACTCTTTTGAAGTTTAAGACATGGTTGAATTATTTTCTATGCTTTTGTTTGCATTATATTGAATTTCAGTATGACATGGTAATTTTCCCCCAAGGTTCCGGCAACTTCAACTCCCTCTATCACTTTTTCTCTATTAGTAAGAATTAGGTCCAGTATAGTTTTACTTCTAGTTCCCTCCTCTACCTTTTGGATGACAGAGTTGTCTGCTAGGTTGGTTAGGAATCAGTTTGATCTGCCGCTTGTTGCAAGGTTTGTCTCCCAGCTGATATCTGGGTAGTTGAAGTCTCACATTACTGCTGTGGTATGTTTCCTACATACATTTAATAACTGGTTGGCAAAGATTCCATCTATTCCTTCTGATTGGTTGGATGGCCTGTAATATACCCTATGGCAATGTCACTTTTTTCCCTTTTACATTGACCCCTATAGATTCTGGAGGGCTTTTATCTATGATCATGTGCATTTCTGTAGATATGTAGCATTCTCTTACATATAGTGCAACTCCCCCTCCTCTTTTTGTAGTTCTGTTTCTTTTGAACAATTTGTATCCATCCCTCAGGCCATTCCAGTCATGGGTTTCGTCCCACCAGGTTTCTGTAATGCCAACTATGTCATACCTGTCCTTGTGTACTATTACTTTTAGTTCACCCTGTTTGTTCCCCAAGCTTTGAGCATTTGTATATAAACATTTAAGACTTTTATGCCTGCCCCTGGGTATGTTTCCTGCATCTCCTGATTGTTGTTTGATTTTTTTCTTTTTTCTCATCACTCCAAACCTCATTGTTTGATTTGTTTTCTTGGGATTTATGATTGGTTTTGTGTTCTAGAGATTCTAAAGATTGGTCACCCTTCCTCCTCAATTTTAGTTTAAAGCCATTCTAATGAATTGCCAGCTTGGCTGACTTCAGAAAAGAGTTGGGCCAATTCCGGGAAAACGTGGGGATTAACAGAAATTAGCCTGGATGGCAGTGTGACTACCTTAGAAAACCATCTGCTGGGAGACTAGTGGGCTTCCTTGTGTGGTGGGTTGGCCACTGTGAGAACAGCCTGCTGGACTAGATGGATCAGGGATCCAATCTAACAAGATACTGTTTATGTATTCTATTCTCAGTCACAGAGGCTCACTGGTTGCATCTGTCAGTCATTTTTTTCCTCAGCTCTGTCATAGAAAAATAGATATAATTGTATACCAAATTAAAAAAAAATTGAAATCAGAAGTTAATGCCACCTTCCTGGCGACCTTTGGGCTCAATCTAGTTTTCCCTAATTGTGCCATTTTACGAACGGGATTGATTATATTGGAAATGTTTTTAGGGAAAACAATAATTCCATTGATTCAGACCTCTCAGCATGGGATCAACTTGCCAGATGCTTTAGAGAGCATTATTGTGCCATACCTCCACTAAGGGTTTACATGTTAAATAGTTTGCTGTGTGTTTGTGCAGTATGTAAATCAGCTTGTAATTTACCTCTTTAAATCTACCCATTCATAGGATATGTATTTACTGGCAGACCTTGAATGAATCATTATTTCATAACCTATTTAACTCACAAGGTCGTTGTTCCAAAGATGACATCAGAAAACTTTTCTCATATAGTATATGCTGGCCCAAGACCCCAGGGCAAGGGCAGAATGTAAATAAACAAGGAAATGTCATACTCAAAATAAGCAAACTTAACATTTGTAACAGGGGCAGATTACAAAAATGTTCAGGTACTTGTATTCAGAATTCTGTTTAAGATTCCTCCTTTATATTCACTTTTTCAGATGGATAAAATGGTAATTAGCCTCTGTTGTTCTTGAAATTCCATCTTTTAATGTTTTTTCCCTTCCTTTTTGTGTTAGTGGACTCACTGGAATGAAGGGTAGGGACGGAAAGAAGAAATGAAATCAACAAAAATAATTTGGGGATTTCCCAGTCTGTCCCTATTCACTGCACTGCATGTAAAAAGCTGATAAAGGACGCTCAAGGACAACGCTACCAAGAATCTTCTTCCCCCCCCCCTTCCTGACGAATGAGAAAAAAAATCAACATTCTTCTAGTTAATTCAGAGTTGCCAAGCCATTTTCCAACCAATTTTCATGATGAAGCCTTAATTGTAGAAAGGCATCCATTCTGCTGCTTACAAATACAAGCATTACTATATTTTGTGCCTTTCAAAATTTACATAGATTTCAGAAATTTATTTTGACACATTTAAAAGATGGACTTTTTCTTAATATATTTATAGATTCCAGAACTGAAGAACTAAAAGAATCAGTTCCCTGAAAGAGTCAAAAGTCAATGATAAACACAGAGGGCACAATTTATTGGTAAATTTATATAGCCACCCACTGGCATATGTTTTTGGTTCATAGATCCAGAAAAAGTAAATTAATTATATTTAAAGATAAAACACAATAATTAAAACACAATTAAAAATAAGGTACCACATAAAAACCAACTTTCTAACAAAAGTGGATAAGCTAAAATGCTAATGAATGAGGTAGACAAAGTCAGTTTTATAGCAGGGGTACAATTGTACTTTGTTGTGTAAAAAGATATGTTGGGGTTCCATTCTTTATAATTTACATCATATGATTTTCTTTTAAAGAAAGTATTTTGTATGTGTATGTGCATTTTGGAATCAGAGTTGATTCCTGGCAATTGCCCGGATGCAGTTTTTGTGGCAGCATTTTCAGAAGCAGTTTGGCACTGCCTTCTTCCAAGAGCTGGGAGAGAATGTCTGGCTTAAGGTCACCTAGCAGACTGGATCTCACCACCGCCTGGTTTCTGGCTCGGGTGTTTAACCTCACATCAAACTGATTTTTGCAATGATAAACAGGTGTGATTAAAAGAAAGATATATTATAGCAATACACTATTTGAAATATCTTTTTCATCCCCTGTTCACAGTGTTAGCGGTGGTAGACCTGAAAACACTGCCTGCTCTACCGAAGCCTTTGGAATTACTGTGTTGCCAATTTGGCAAGTAGAATGGCTGTATTGGTCTCTAAATATTCAAAGACATTCTTTCCATCTGTAGTCTCTGCCAATGTCCCAGTGCTTCCCATTACATCCAACAGAAATAATTCCTCCTTGTGACTGTGGCTCCACTCTTGTACAGGAGACCTATTCTTGGATGTGTGCTGCATCTGTGGTACTGAACCTGCAAATGCCTATGTTCCCTAGGGCTTGGTGGAGCTTCGGCTTCTCCTTCTGACCCAGGAGAGGGACGATCTGCCTCCTGGTGGTCTGAGCCTGGAACTGCGCCGTGTGGAGCCTGTGGCACATCTGTCCCTGAGCCGTGCAAAGCCTGTGGCATGTCCAGTTCTTCTTCGTCTTCTGACGAGGAGTCTTCCAGAAGAGATATCATACTGGCCCCTATTCCCAGATGTATGAGGGGCTTGTTGCAGATACTCAGTGGTGAGCGAAAGGCATTCTGCATGTTTAGAAACACATCTCTGTTCTTTCATGTATTTGGGGCTCAGCCCATGAATTGACATCAGTTTTGTAGTTTAACCCTGGCCCAGTTTAAACCCTGAATGTCCCTTTAATTCTTTGAGAGTTTGTTTCAGTCTGCACAATGAAATATGATAAGGTTCAAACCTACCTGGGTCTACAATGTAAAATTTCTTGCAACTGTTTAGCAGGAAGCCAAAGGTATATAAATAGGATATGTGACTCAGCATATGTATGAAGCATGTGGCTTAGCATAGATGAAATATTGCTCCAATTATACTGGTATTCAGAAGTAGAAATCTAAGGTATATGGAATGTATGATTTGTTTATATTCTTTTTTACCGGCCAATCGGGTGTTTGAGCAGGCAGGAATCTTTGAATGGCTGGTTTCATCCTGTGCCCAGTTATTAATCATGGGTTATAAGCAGCAATATGTGTAACTAAAATCATACTATAGCTTGTGACTTCTTATGTTTTGTGAACTCATCCCAAGGATTCAAGTCTTTCCTTTTGTTTTTGATTCAGTGCTTTCTGCTTTTACCTGAACAGGATAGCTTGGGCAGTGATCATTCAGTATTTTTTTCCATAGAGTAAAATGACTAAAATATTTCTTGGGTTCAAAAGGAGCTTAGTTCTGGTGCAGTCCTTATTTGCCACTTTTGGTATTTTTTACACTCTGTTTATATTAAAAATATGGGGGTTGCATTCTTTAAAGGTTGGGGTAAATTAGATTTTTTTTCTCTTGTTCCAGTAGCATAATGGCCAATAATAGATTTGAACCAAAAGCTCAGGTTGTGTCAGAGTTCCTTTCATCCAAGGTATTTAGACTATTAAAAAAAACTTTTATACTTCCCTTTGTTATCTGGAAAAAGACAAATTAGCTCACTGGTTCACAGGAAAGACATTGGGAAAACATTGGCTCCGCTTTTAAAGTCTGCACTCTAATGACGTGAAAGATAAATGGATTCTAAAATGAACATAATCCAGTTGCTAGAGGTTTTGTAGCTTTATTCCTTAATATTTCAATAAATCTTGTTAAAGAAGATTCTGTGGGAATCTTGCTTTCAGCTGAGTCAGCTACCAAGAGCCTGATGTCAGATCTCATACAGAAACTGAGTTGGAGGGTTAATCAACCTTGTTTTGCCTATCCCACTTTCATTAGGTTGTTCTCTTGCAAGAGGCTAATGATGAACTATTATTGCAGGTTCATGGCTAAAGAATTTATTAGCTTTTTCCCCACATAACTTGAGGTTTTAAAATAATGCATAATCTTCAGATTCAATGGATGTAAAAATTCAGAATAAATTATTGCTAAAACAAATGAACAAAGTACTCTTTGTGAAAAAATAACCCAGCAAATTTTTCTTTCTGCATGGGTTTCTTTTCAACAGAATCATTTTTTTTCTTTTTTTGTTGCATTATGAGAAAGAGGGAAAAATCACATCAAGGAGATATTCTAAATTCAACATTAGCTACTGAAGCCAAATAAGACTGAAAGCTGTGGGAATAGCATTAAGCAGCAAAATATGCCTGCAGAGAAGGGAAAAAAGTAATAAGATAACTCAAAAGAAAACCTTTATTAGGAAATTACATTTAGATAAAAAAAAACCTAAGGATACATGATCCAGCTATATTCTAAGTAAATGAATCAAAGGAATGGTATCTATTCTATTATCAATGGAGGAAATGGAAACAAGAAACAGAATATGGAACTAATAGTAACTCTGAGGAAATCAGTCAACCAATTAGAGGCATAGTACTAGTTGTGTCAAAGCAGTAATGCATAGCTACATAACTTTCACTGTATCTATTGCCCCAGAGGACATAGGATAAGAAGATATAACAATGCAAGGAATTCTAAAGTGGAGTTTACCACAATGGCAAAACTTAGAAATGATTTCACTTGGGAAGAGGCATAGGTGTGCACCCTGCTTTCTGTGTATGGCTTTTGATTTTGATGCATATTGATGTATTATATCTGCTGTTGCTCCAGTGTGCATGAGAAACAAGTTTGTTGTTGCCATCAATGGAACAATACAGATTTTTCAAACCTACACCAATTGAGAAGACATATATTCTCACTGGCATTGCCCATCTAAGATCAGGAAAGAGGTAGAAGCAGATGCCGAGAGAACTAAGCAAGAGAATGCTCCTTGACATCTTCTGAATGGACATATGCTCCAAGCATGCCAACTCAGATCTAACAAAAGTTTTATTGCAAGAACAAACATTCTTGAGGGTATGCTGGAACAAAATTTAATTAACAGATGGAGGAAGGAGACCATAGAGCAATATATCTTGACTATTACCAGAAACATGTACTGGTAGTGACTTATTTTTGGCCAAGGACAAAGCCAAGAAGATGGCTTCATTCTGGCAGTTTACAGTTTGATCTAGACATGGGAGAGGAATAATAATAATAATAATAATAATAATAATAGTAGTAGTAGTAGTATAGTAGTAGTAGTAGTAGCAGTTTTGATTTTCTCTTTTGACTCCAGTCTTCTGAAATTTGTCAGAAAAATACATGTTTTCTATTATGCATGAATGTTAATATATATATTTATTATTCCAGTTTTTCTTAAACTGTGCTCTGCTTTGAACCAGTTGTTTTATATAGAAATACATTTTTGCATGTATTTCTTTAGTTATATTTTCTATGTGCATTTTTTTCTTTACACTTTTTGTTGCGTCCTTCGCGAAATGGCAAGACACGAGAAGCAGTTGTAGTTCTCAGGAAACTTCTTTATTTCAGTTCAGCATACTAGGTACAAGTCACCGACAACGCCCAAAACTCCCGGCCTCTTTTATAGGCCATTCCCGGGTCAATCTGCAACTTTTGGCGCGCCAGCACTTGTGCATGCGCACAAGTACTGGCGACAGCCTGTCTGGTCCCGGGCAGCTTGCACCTGCCCAGGACCGTTTGCAATGCCCCGAGCCTGCTTCCACAGGCTCAGGACATAACACCCCTTCCCCCCGGGTTAAGACTATTGATCATGCCATAATAACACATAACCCATTGTGAGTGTAGTGCCATACTACCTCATACTATGCATTTCTTTTGTTTCCATCAGTCTCAGTGTTCTATTTCCTCTGTGCACAGGAATGTTCTTTGTTAACTCTGTTTTGCCAATAGAGTTACAAAATCCTCTAAATACTTAGGGGGTCTTCTGGCTCTCTGTGACCTCCTAATCTCTGGGTACCTGCCAAGTACCCCTTGACTGAGGGGTGATGCGTATCTGTCCCCCCTATTACACCCTGGTGGTTCCCAAGGACTGTGCTCCAATGCCTGGCCTGCTTGCTTGCCCACCTGGCTCGTCAGGCCAGGGCTTCTTTCTTTTTTGACCTGGTTGTCCTGCCTAGCTGCAGGCTCTCTGGCCCCTCTAAGTGACTGTCACTGTTGGGCGATTCTGTAGAACCTCCAAGGTCCGTCCAAGACCTCTCCGGAGGTTGTCTGTCCCCTGGTTCCCGTTCTGCCCCCGGGCTTGTGGGGTTTTCAGTGCTGTCCCAAAACTCAGTTGTCCCCTGAGTGAAGTCAGAGGTGTTGTAGTTGGGATTTGGTTCCTCGACCACCTCCCTGTATGCTTGCCCCCTTCTAGGGACAGGGGTAGTGTCGGGCCAACTACAGGGAATGTGTGCCAGCTCTCTTGCAGGGTGTGATTTGTTTGGATGCTCCCGGATATCCTCCCTGACTGGAGTACTGAGTGATGCGGGTGAATAGTGATTATGCCCCCGGGGTGACTCCCTGGCTGGAGTAGGCACTGGTGCCTGATATCTAGTTGGGCTCCGTGAATTCCTGTTTGGAGCACTCGCGGAACTTTGGAATGGGCTGTCTGTAGCCTCCTCGTTAATGATGGGCAGCAGCCTGTACTCTTCCCTTTGCCCTAAAGAGTCCCCCTCCCCCCCTGGAAAAGATCCAGGAGTCTCAGTGGGAAGGTCCCGTCTAGTGCGGAGCTGGTCGATGTGTGACGCAGGACACGACCGTTGTCCAGAGACACCTCGTAAGACAGAGGACCTGTGACTCTGGATACAGTGGCGGGGACCCATGAATGGCCAGGCCCATAGTTACGAGTCCAAACCAGGGCACCCACAAGCAGTTGTCTAGGTGCCCTGGGGTGTGTGAGTGTGGAAGGAAGTCTGTCCGAATGCAACCGGTCAAGCTTGGTAGTCAGTTTGCGCCCCCAACGAAGTTCAGCTGGGCTCCTCCCAGTAGAAGTGGATGGTGTAGTGCGATAAGAAAGGAGGAAGTCACCCAGCCTGTGATGCCAGTCTCCATAGGTAATTTTCTTCAAGGCGTCCTTGGTGATGCGAACCATGCGTTCAGCCATACCGTTGGTGGACGGGTGGAAAGGCGCAGAGGTGGCATGACGAATCATGTTGGCCTGTAAGAAAGCTTGGAATTCGGAAGAAGTGAATTGAGGGCCGTTGTCAGACACGAGGACGTCTGGAAGCCCGTGTGCAGCAAAAATCCCCCTCAGTACTTGAATAGTCTTTGCAGTGGTGGTGGAAGAGACAGGTACAACCTCAAGCCATTTTGAATGGCTATCAACTAGGACCAAAAAGAATTGACCCTGAAAAGGCCCAGCGTAGTCAATGTGCACCCTAGACCATGGAGACTGTGTTTCCTCCCATCTATGTACAGGAGCTTGGGGCATTTTGGGGCGCGAGCGTTGACAAAGGTGGCATGCGTGCACCTTAGCTTCAATGTCTCTATCTAACCTAGGCCACCACAAATGGCTGCGTGCAAGCGCCTTCATGCATACAATGCCAGGATGACCCTCGTGGAGGGAACCTAAGACCCTAGTCCTCATTGAGGTAGGGATGACAACTCTGCTTCCCCAAAGCAGACAACCCTGGAAGATGGACAACTCGTTCCTTTTAGACCAGAAACTCTGGAACTCAGTGCCAGGACAGCTCTCTGGCCACCCAGATAAAACCCAAGAAAGGACATGTGAAAGTGTGT